TGTGTGTGTGGTGAGCATCGCAGAATGCCAATTTGTTAGAACAAAGTGTTCTTGTATTGAGGGAAGGTATGAGCCAAGGCCCAAGGCCCATCTGGAGCTTCAGTGTATTGCCTTATAAATACATGTGCATAGGCCAATACTACTGTTGTTATGGATTAATGTATGTACATAAGTGGACATGTCTGTTAATCTCCCTATCTATGCCTTTGCTTCCTAGAGCTTGCTTCTTTCTTTTTGCCTCCTCCTCTCCCGCCATCACTTTCCCCCTTCCTCCACCTCTTAGTGCTTCCTCTTCACCAGCTTGGTGCTGCTCTAATACTCACAGGCTCTCTACCCTCTCCTAGATGCTGGTTCCGCCTCCCTAGTTGTTCCCCTGTCCATGACACCATCCGCTCACACACCCTTCTCTCCACCTCCTCCCCCTTTTACCTTCCAGGGCCACTGGGCCCATTGCTTTCTCCCTGGGCTTTCTTCCCCCTGGTCTTCCTTCCCTTGTTCCAACCCATATAATTAGGCAAACCATCCATGTCTTAGTCCAAACAATAAGAAAATATATGGTTGAAGAAAGAAAAGGAAAGAGAAGAGAAAAAAAAACAGGAAAAGAAAGAAAAAGGAAAAAAAAACAACCCTGCATAGGTCCAGGTCTGTTTGCTGGTCCCCATGAGACCCTCCCGCCTGATCCTGGGTGAGGTCCAGGAACTGCCCATTCTAGCCTGAAAAATCCATTCTTGGGGCTCCTCAGGGCCTCTGGCTTGGCTTTACTCCCAATTGCGGATCACTTATGCTCCATTCCCACACTGTCTCCCCGCCGTATGTCCCCATTATTGTCTCCTGTCTCTGTATGCTTCAGTTAGGTGACAACATTTCTTGAGTTTTTTGTAGTCCCACAGTCCTCTCTGTGCCTTAGCCGCTCCATGCAGGGTCCTAATCCTCTGGCTTGGTGTGCCTATATGGAGTCTAGGCCGACTGCCCCTTTCTCTATTTCCTTCTCGGTTTGCTTCCATCTGGGTGTGGTAGATCAGTTCCTTTCTCCCACCAGAAGGTCTAGTGTTGTTTTTTGCAGCACACACTTACAGGGTGGGGGTCTGGCTGGTTCTAGTTGGGACCGGCCCTTAAACAACTTTTTTAAAAATTGTTGATTTGTGGAGGGAGGGTGGGGTGGAAAGGGGGAACTGATTACAATGATCTACATATAACCTCCTCCCTGGAGGATGGACAGCAGAAAAGTGGGTGAAGGGAGATGTCAGACAGTGTAAGATATGACAAAATAATAATTTATATATTATCAGGGGTTAATGAGGGAGCCGGGAGGAAGGGGGGAAATGAGCTGATACAAGGGCTCAAGTAGAAAGCAAATGTTTTGAGAATGATGATGGCAACAAATGTACAAATGTGCTTGACACAATGGATGGATGTATGGATTGTGATAAGAGTTGTATGAGCCCCCAATAAAATGATTTTTAAAATAATTGTTGATTGGAAAAATATATAATGTTCTGGCTCTGATTAAAATAATCTGTCATTCTTCATCTGAAAATAATCTCATGGCAAATAATATATTCAGAAGGAGAGTAGAGAAAGAATTCTCCCCCTGTGTGTTCTCAGAAGAACTGATGACATTTTTCTCAATTTCTGGACAGAACCACAGTATTTGCGATATTATCATATTTTTAAATGTCTAAATAAAAAACTCAGTTCAAGTTCAAGAGCAAAATTGTGTTATTATACATTTGCATTTCTTATTAGTGCCTTGTGTTCTTCCTATTCCATAAAACTTCATAAACGGAGTATTTCTTACTTTTTAAAAAATGGACTAATTCTTTTTTTTTAATGGATATTTCTTAGATGGTTGTGCTGTCACTATTGTAAATGATACTTCAGTGAACATCTTTTCTGTTGGATACATTTAAAGTGCTATTGAAAGGGTTTTGAGCTTAGGGGAAAGACAAAATATTTTACTTTAAAGATGCTTAATTGTTTCTAGGATCAAGTTCTGAGTCTCTCTCTGTCTTAAATTTTATTACATAGCTTGAAGAAAATACGAGGCAAAGTCTGGAAGCAGAGAATATCTAGCCCTCTGTTCAACACCAAACAATATACAATGGAATTAGAACGGCTATATCTACAGATGTGGGAGCATTACGCAGCCGGCAACAAACCTGACCACATGATCAAGCCTGTTGAAGTCACTGAGTCTGCCTAAATAAAAGACTGTGTGCACAGGAGATTAACCCCTATACCTGAGCCTCAACCTTTTGGGGGAAAGGGAACTAGATAACGTACTTTTACTTAACTGTACAGTGTCATGTTGCAGATGGTTGACATATAATGATAATAGAATAGCACAGCCAGACTTGCTTCCTGCATGGTAGGGAGAGACACAAGATGGGAAACTACTGCTCCATAAGGAATCTCCATAGAATTTTGCAGCAACCAGGTGGTGCACATGTCTGGGAGGTCTGATCTCCTTTGGTCTTCCATAGGATGGTTAGTGTGGAGGGGAGATACAACTTGTCCAGCCATTTTGTGATTCCGTGGATCGATTGAATCTTTTCTGGATTATTTCTTTTTCTTTATAATTTGGGTATTGGAGCTTTTAAAATGTGTTTGGTTTCAGGTATTTTTATTCATGTGAAGTGTATATTTCTCTTGAGATAGGGTTTTAAGCTAAAATGTTGCTCCTTGTTTTAGTTTCTGAACTATACAGAACAATGGGGACTTTGCTGGTGTAGTCTTTTTATAGGTTTTATAAACCACTTGAGTCTATATCAGTCATTTTAGTATCTGACCTAGTGTTTGGAGCTATTAGTGATTTGTTGGTTTAGATGATGATTCAAAAAGTTTTGTTCTGACTCATTTTCCGTTTCTTTCTCACCCTCCTTTCCCCACTTAAAATTTTTTCCTGTAACAGAGCTAACAAAAGTAATCTGATTCAAAACACCTTAGGGTATTTTTCTGAAACATACCATCTGGTGCCAAATGAAAATTCTTAGGAGTGATTATTAATGATGAAGGGCACAGTTGTGGTATATCATTGATAATAACTTAGCTTTTTTTGTGTGCCTAGTTTTGACCTATTTCATCAGTGTTTTATCTTTGCCCCTTCTATGCTGCTTCCAAAAGTGATAGCGTGTGATATGATTTTTACCCTCTTTTCCAAGGTTTTTGTTTGTTTGTTTTTTAAAAAGTGAGTCATGATCTTCCTATTTCTTTCAGCAGAAATGAAATCCCAGGTAAGTATATGTATTCAAATATTTGATCAGTAAGTCACAGGTATCTCCAATATAGAAATTAACTTTCATCAAAAAATGTTAACTTCATAGATTAAAAGCTCTGAAGGATCATCTGTGTATAAAAGTAATTATTTTTCAGACCTTCTAGGATATTATAACTGTTTTCTGGACTTGATCTTCAAGTCTGTAGGAATTCAGTCTCAATAGTAGCTAACTGCTCTGCTACTTGATTTGGAGTACAAATTATATGTTAGTCCTCCTGGAGCTTGAGTGCTTGGTATTACAAACCATAGGAATAAAATAATTGAATTTCACTAAAACGTGTTGAGGGCTTGAGGCGTAATCAAGCCAGCATATGAATATACATCTTGTCTTGCTGTACTGCTCTTATGCTATCCAATAACAGATAGTTTTTGTCTGCTATAGTGTTCTAGATTGCAGTGTCTTTTTAAAGTGCTGAGGCAGTGCACCTATTCTGTAGTTGCAGCTGATGCCTGAATGTATTTTAGCTGACAAATTATTGATCAATAAGAACTTGAAATTCTGAAAGATTCTTACTGCTGACCAAAACCTGAGCAGAGTCTCAAATGTAATTCATGACCAGAATTACATATCAGTGAACTGTGCAACTTTTAACAATATAAATCAAGAAACATCAATTTAGAGAATTTTTAATTTATTTTTTACCTGACTGAAAAATTCTTAGTTACAGGTTGCCAGCATGGTTGCAGATAAACTGATGTCTGAACTTCACCGAACTGTATAATGTGGGATAGAGTAATATACTTCCAAGGCCCTCACGGCTGTGACCTTACAGCCGTTTCACACAGCACATCATTCCTCCTCTAGGGATGAACTTTTTCCTGGCACGCACAAATTGCTGCTGTGGTTGGAGCTTTGCTTATTGTAACAGGCTTTTGGTCCAGGTAACATGTCTGTGGACGACTTAATTTTGAATAGAGATATACGTATTACTAGAAATTAATTGTTTTTTTTTCTATTATACTCTGCTTTATCAAAAACGTAAAACAAATTGTGCTACAGAAACCCAGATGTTGTCTTGCGATGTTAAAACAATAAATGAATGATTTCCCCCTTAACGTGGCTGATGTACTTTGTGTTCTGGAATGAGCTATTAGAGTAAGGTGGGTATCCAGTGATGAAACGGCTGCATTTGAGCAGCTATGAAACATAGACTAACTAGATTACATAGTAGTGATTGTTTCCGTAGGGTAGTCTCCAGGAGTATAGGGTGGTATAAATCCATGAAGTGAACAATAAAGCACGGGACACCCACCACGGCCGTTTCTACTTGTTCCTTTTTGGTGATCTCTCTGGCTTCATTTACCCTTGTAGTCTCATTTTTAATGTTAATATTTTTTTGCTGGAGTCGTGGGCGTGGAATTATTTTTGTTCCTGCTCTGTATGCTTAGCTGAACTCAGTCACAGATATGAAAGACGTAGAAAAATCAAAGCTTTAGGATCAGAACAGGTTTACCGCTGGCTTTCTCAGATTAAATGATGGAGAAGCTTTTTTTAATACTGGTTTGTGGTTGAGAATATACACAGCAAAAGATAAACCAACTCAGCAGTTTCTTACATGTACCATTCAGTGACAATGATTACATTCAAATTGTGCAATCATTCGCACCCTCCTTTTCTGAGTTGTTCCTACTCCGGTAACATGAACCAACTATCCCTGTTAGCTTTCACATTGCTGCTGTCATTTTGGCCCCATATAGATCTTAAAATAGCGTAAAGTAGGTAAAGTATTAGGGGGAAATTTTTTTCTCAGTGAAATTTCAAGTTATTTAGTTCTCAGCTTTTGTGTGTTATGTTCAAAACCTTCGTGTAGTTTAGGGTTTGTTAGATGGTGTGAGAACAAAGTGGCCAGTAGACTCGAAAGTCTCCTTGTTAAAGTTCTTACCCGCTCTCTTTATTTTGTTAGGAATCTGCCCCCATTATTTCCAATCTACTTCCGCCCTCTTCTTAATGGAGCTGCCTTATGTGCCTTCTGGACTACTTGTTTTAAGATTTGATTCCGACCCTAATATCTTCTACTTGACGTTTATAGCTCGATTATAGCTAGTGTTTGGGTTCTTGAGGTTCCCAGTTTTGTATTCTCATATTTTATAAATGTAGAAATAAAGTTGGGGAGGTTTATTTTAGAAACAGGGTTATGATAAGCCCTTTTTTATCCAGGTCCCCATCAGGAAGCACTGTTTTTATCGGCAGGCAAGTTGGTGGTTGAGATTGTGGGTTTGGGAGCCAGTGCTATTAGTTCCAGCTCTTGCCACCACTTTCTAGTCATGATCTCTTAAAATTAGTGTTTAACTATCTACTTTTAAAAGTGTTAATGAGGAATAAGTCTACATAAAGCACTTGGGACAGTGCCTACTGTGAAGTGAACTAAAATTATACCAATATCAAATGCAGGATGTTCAAGCCGTGAAGTGGGTGGGGGACTGCCAGAAAAAAACAAAAATGGCACAATCTAGAAAGCATTTACATTCCCTTTTATGTTTTTCTTGGTGTGTTAGGAAATAGTGTCTAAATACTTCAATGCAACCTCCTCCTTTCTATCTTCAAGGATGAAGTTATCCAGTATTCCCAGCAGCCATCTTTGGGTGGGGTGGGGTGGGGGTGAGGGGTTCTGTAAGCAAGAGCCCTGAGTAACTTGAGAGGCAGTTGGATTGTGGCTTTGTTCCTATCTAGGGAGTCTTCAGGAGCCCTGGTGGTGTAGTAGTTACGAGTTGGGCTGCGGTCTGCATGGTCAGCAGTTCGAAATCACCAGCAGCTCTGTGGATGAAAGACCGGGCTTTCTAATCCCTATCTAGGGGTCTAAGTGCCCCCTACCCGGTGCCCCCACATCCCGGGGAGTAGTTTGGAGGGCAGGACAAACAGATTTGGATAATTGAAGCAAAGAAGGGCCCACTTAACACGAGGTGATACCTGGGGGAGCAGCTCAAATTTTCTCGAGATCCGGCAAGTTAATTTAGATCCTTTTCTCTCACAGAAACGGGCTCAGGTTCTTGACAGCACTGTATGAAATGTCGCTTTCAGGCCAAAAAAGCCAAGCACCCTTTGAAGTGATACACAGGATTCTGGACACGCGGCAGCTAGGCGCCAAAGTTCTTTCCTTGTCTCCTGGGTTGAACCCCACCGCTAGGGGGTGCTGTGAAGGCGGGCCCACCAGTGTCTATTTCCTGCTGTGTGCAGTCCAGAAGTCCCGCCTCGCCGGGAGCCTCACACTGGGCGCTTCGGCTGCGCAGGCGCTCAGCCCCCCGGCGCGCCCGGCGTGTACTCGGAAGTGAGGGAGCTGTGAAGGAGCCGAGGGAGTGTCTCCGCGCCCGAGGAGGTAGGTGACCGGCCGGTGCCCCTGAGGTGGGTAAGGAAAGGGGGACAATCGTGACTGGGGTCTTGATACCTGAAAATCAAAACTGCCTTCCGGCATCGGCTCTGGTTGGGAGTTTTGGAATTGAGAGCCAAGAGCTTTTTGCCGGTTTTCCCTGGGAGGTTTTTAGAAGAAGGAATTCTTTGTTGCTAGAGCGAGGATGAGGAGAGGGCAGCGGAGATTGCGGTGGGGTGTGAGGGAGTGGAGGAGTGGGGTGGGGGTGGGGTGGGATCTGAAGCCTGTGGAAGAAGACTAGCTGGGCCGAGAGTTTGAGGAGGTGTGTGTGTGAGGGGGCATCAAGGCGTGCTTAAGACTGGCTGAGGAATGAAAGTGGACTTGGGGGCCAGGGCTGCGGTGTGGGTGTGGGTGTGGGTGTGGGTCGTGAGGGAGGGCGCGTGAGAAAATGGGAGGTCACAACCCGTGAGACTGTCTGAGAGGAACGTGGGAGAAGGCGGTGCGCTGGAGACAATTGGGGGATGGAAGTATTGGGCGCGTGAGCCTTTGGAGGGCCTTGAGATGTGGGGAGATGGGAGCAGGGTGGAAGAGTGGGGTTTGAAAATGTGAGGGAGTCGAGGGTGGGTGCGTGGTGGGGGGGGGGTGTACAAACCTGATTAGCAGGGAATGGGGGTGGACAATTGGTACGAGCAGGGAGAAAGGAGCTAGAAGCCTGGTTGGTATAGGGCTGGTTCCGGGCTGGGAGGCGGTAGCAGGGAAGTGGAGGCTTGGGGCACGTGATGGGTTAGAGGAGCTATGGGGGATATTTGAAGCCTGACTGGTGAAGACCACTGGCTGGAGGCAGGAGGCAGGAGGCTAGGGGCAGGAGCCAAGGACAAAATGTGAGTGGGAAAGTGTGGTGGAAGACCATTGGCAAGAAGGGGAGGTGGAGAGGAGAGAGGATTGGACTCAGGCCTGCGCAGTGGAAGACATGCTTGGGTAAATGGGCGGGGGTGGGGGGGTTGGCGGGGTGTTGGAGGTAGAATTCCATTTGGGAGTGGGAGAGTAGTGGTTAATGCATATTAAAGCCTTATGAGAGGGCTAATAAATACATGGTTGTACATAACTCATTATTTGGTGGTTTAGTTGAGGTGATGTAATATCAGGGCATGCTGTGTGCTTTGGGCTTTGTGATCCGCAAAGAACCTTAAAGCACTTTATGGTGGATATTGTGTTATCTCTAGTTTTCTCTATCCAGGAAAATACTGCAACAAAAGTTTATATGATTGTCATTTCACAGAGCAAAGTTTAGGCTTTAAGTTAGCACAAAGAAGTTGAGTGCTCAATGATAAATGCAAAATGTGAAAATGTTTCATTGAATACTTCTAGGTTCTAATTTTCCTAAGAAAGTATAACTTTGTTTTGACTTACAGACACAGAAATGTCCCAAGAAGAGGCTAATATATCTGGTTCCCAGTATGATGAGTGGTAAGATGTGAGAACGTTCTGAAGAAGTTCTTGTTTTTGTTGAACTTGAAACGTATATGAGGTGAAGTCAAAAATTATTGCTACAAAGCCTTCGAACCCTGTATTATTATAAGTTGGACTGCCATCCATATGGTTGGCAGTGTGACACTACCAGCAGCTCTATGGGAGAAAGACTGGGCTTTTTACTCCTGTAAACTCACAAGAGGGTGCTATGAGTCAGTACTGACTTGATGGCAGAGAGTTTTTTAATTTTGAGTGTGCATAGGAGCCTGGGTGGCGGAGTGGCTACACATTTGGCTAACTGCAATATCAGCAGTTTTGAACAAGCAGCCACTCTCTGGGAGAAAGGCAAAGCTTTCCACTCTTGTAAAGAAGTCCAGTCTCTGCAACTCACGGGGCAGTTATACCCTGTAGGGTATCCACTCGATGGCAGTGGGTTTTGAGTTTATCATATTTCTTTTAATACTTCTCTTTTCTGGAATACTGCTCTCTTGTTTTCCTTCCCAGACAAGTATGTAAGTATAATATAGGAAAATTTTACGCCATAGAACAGAATAGTCTGGAATAGACTCAAATATGAAATTTTAGTTTATGATAAAGCCATTTCAAATCAATAAAATGATGGCTTACTCAACATAATTTGAGAATAATTGGCAGGCTATAGGGGGAAAAGTTCTTACCACTCCTTATATCAAAATAAATTATACATAGATCGAATATTCAAATAGAACGAAACCACCAGAAATACTAGAAGAAAGCCTAGAGATATTTTCTAGTAATTTTAGAGTAGGGAAGGTCTTTCTAAGTTTGATATCAAATTTAAAAGCATAGAAATGATACAGTGGGAAAAACATCCCCCTTTTACATTATAGAGAATTCGTTTCTTACTCCACAAAGAACTTCCACAAATTAAAAATCGGGAATAAGCCTACAGAAAATGAGCAAAGGACATTAAAAGATAGTTCAGAGGGAAAGTGAGTCCTGGTAGCACAGTGGTTAAACACTCGATTGTTGAGAGTTCAGAGGTTCAAACCCACCAGCTCACTTCACAGGAAAAAGCTATGGCAGTCTGTTTTTATAAAGATTTATAGCCTTGGAAACCCTAAAGGACTATGAGTGAAAGTGGACCTGAAGTCCATAGGTTCCCAGTACACAACCATTGTACAAGGGTGTGGTTTGCAGCATTGTTTGTAATAACAAACACTTAGAAGGACCTTAAATGTCCTAAGGAGCTGGCACCACTGCCATTGAGTTGATTCTGACACATATCGACCCTATTTATATAGGGTTTTCAAGACTACATTTTTATAGGACCAGTAACCTCATTTTTTCCTGAGGTTCTAAGAGGCTGATTTAATAAATTATAGTGCATCTTAAAAAATGTGAGAGCTATGTGTACTGATTATGGGAAAACTAAGATACATGAGGGTGCTTGAAAGGTTTTTCAGAAAATTTTATGGCCTTTTCCATTTTTCCACAAACTTTTAAAAGCCCCTTCATATAAAGTAAAAGAAAGTATAAATTACAGAGCAATCTATATGGTCTAGTAGTATTTCCTTGAAAAAGTGTGTACACTTGGCTTGTGCTGGTACTGCTTATGCTTAAAACTTTCTAGAAGAATGTGGTACATTATCTCTGAGGAGTGGGATTGCTGGAGGAACAGAGACAAGATGTTCTTATTCCTCACTCCCTTTTTCAGTTGTTTTTTGCTTGTTTGTTTATTTTCCTAGGCACAAAAGCTATCTGGTAAATGTTTCATTATAATCTTTAAAATTTGAGGAGGATGGATTAAGAACAGAATGCAGCAAACTTTGGAAAATATACATCTTAACAAATAATAAAAATTAGTGCTAATTTAAGGATTATTTACCTATTATATACCAAATTTAAGATATTTAATCCACTGTTGCTGACATGGTAAACTAATTTAGCCCTTGAAAACAATTATGCAAATGTACCAAATGCTTTGAAGGATCCTTGGTGACACAAATGTTAAACACGCAGCTGCTGACTGAAGGCTTCATGTTCTCCAATAAAGGTTACAGCCTAGAGAAACCTATGAGGCAATTCTACTCTGTCACATGGAATCACTATTGAATTGAAAATTGACTTGACGACACCAGAATCGATTCTGGCTCATAGTGACCCTATAAGCCAGGATAGAACTGCCCCTGTGGGTTTCTGAGACTGTAAATCTACAGGAGTAAAAAGCTTTGTCTTTCTGCCTGGGAGCAGCTGTTGCTTTCAAACTACACCAAGAGCTATAAAATTGGTCATGTTTTTGATGGAGTAATTTTAGGAATCAGTCCTAAGAAAATTCAATCTATGAAAAGAATTAAGCATACAAAGGTATTTCTTCCAGCACTCAACTAAAATATTAATATGTGTGTTCAAAATGTAAATGGATGGACACGTTGGCTGAAACAGTGGCCTGAATCATAGGAGCACTTGTGAGGATGGTGCAAGACCAGGCATGGTTTCCTTCTGTTGTGCATAAGGTCGCTAAGGGTCAGAACTTGATGGCACCTAAAAACAACAATTGCCATGAGGTAATCTTTAACTTTTAAATCAAAAACATCTCCTGAAGTTACTCTTCAACCGAACAGTGCTCTTTTAAGAACTGCCTATCAAGGGCTCAATAGAAAGTAAATGTCTAGAAAAGCAATGGCCACATATGTACAAATATGCTTGATACAACTGATGTATGGATTGATATAAGGGTTGTAAGAGCCCCCAATAAAATGATTTATTTTTCAGAATCCAGTTACGTAGTTTTTAAAATAAAGGTTACCCATTGTTTAGAGACAAATCTACACAAGAGTTACAAAAAATCGTTGCAAAAATCGTTGCCCAGGCATAAGCATACACAGGTTTGTGAATTATACACCTATGGGTACAAGTGTGCTTGCAAAAAAGGTCATTGGAAATATATACAAGAAAAAAAAGGAAATATATGCAAGAGTCTGGAAATGTACACAGGCTGTAGTGTTACAATTCTATAGTCAAACAAGGAGAATCGACAGTGAATTACATTGACTTACAAGTAGACAATGCAAAATACAATCATCGTTTGTACAAAAAGGAAGGGCAATTCACACTTTACAAGGTGAGGCCTCTGATTGTGAGGATAGCGAGGGCAGGGCTGAACCTTTGCACATCCTTCTGACTCACAAAATAAGCAAAACATTACTTCTTTAGTTTTAAAAAAACAAATGTGAACTGAATAATCTTGAATAACATTTTTATAGGATCTCACTACTGTATGAGGAGATGACAGATAAAATCAAACTAAGTTTAAAAAACAATTCATTTTATACATTAACTAGGCTGTATAAAGAACATTTATTCCTTCAAAAGAAAAAAATTACTCTGGTTGAAATTACAATTTACTAAAACGATCTTTTAAAAATAATAAGAACTGTATGTAGGATCAAATTGACAATACAATTCTGAAAGTTGGGTAGGAACCTTATGGGGTAGTGAATTTATGTTAATGAGGGAGAAACAAAAAGAAGAAAAGGGGAAACAAAGGAGTGTGAAAATTGTACAGCTCAAAGAATATAATCAATATCACTACATTATATGTAAAAAGTTGTGCAAAAAGGAAAATTGTAGCTCTCTATGGTCCCTATTCACTTGCCTCTGAGTAGGGAGTGCCCAGAGCTGATGATGGGCACGAGAGGTGAGTGACCACTTTGCTTTATTAGTCCCTTGTGAATTTGGTTAATAGGGGTCACACCTTTTCGATTTGATGAATCGATAAGCCTGAGCTCCTGGACTTTTCGTTGGAGATTTGTCCTTCAGGCTAGTCAACAACTTGCCAGTCTCTGTACCTACTTAGCTGCCAGTTAGAGCTTTCCCATGATCTAGGCACTGTATATATTTTCATTAAGGCAGATAGGATTGTTAGTTTTTTGTTTTGTTTTCTAATATTTATATCATACTTTTGGCAGGCTCTTTCTCAGATCTTCACATAGATAAGTATATAATCACTGCCATTGAGTTAATTTTGACTTATAGTGACCTTATATCTATAGATCCCTGGTGTTGTAGTGGTTACAGGTTGGGCTACGATCTGCATGGTTGACGGTTCCATGACTGAAAGACTGGGCTTTCTACTTCAGTATACAGTTATAGTCTTGGAAACCCACAGGTTTCCTGCTACCTGTGCTACCCTGTCCTATATGGTCATCATGAATTAAAATCGACTCGATAGCTGTGAGTTTGGGTTGATTTTGTACTGAAGAATATGATATGGATGCATATCCTCTGAGTTAGAGCAATATAAACATGTCAACAGGCAATTTTAGTATTGTAGAGTAAGTGTTATGATGAAGAGAAGCTCGTGGCCCTATAGGAGTACCCAGAAGAGAAAGACATGAACTCGTTTGGTTTTCACATTACCCTATCAGATCCATGGTCCTTTATCACTGCGACCTCCAGATCTTGTTATAGAAATCTAGGTAAGGTTTACATCCTTTGGTCTAGCTGGATTTGTAAGGTAGAATTGGGGTCATGATAATGGGGAGGAGGAAGCATTAAAGAACCACAGGAAACTAGTTCTTAAATGCTTCCTGCCCCCCACTATCATGACCCCACTTCTACCTTACATATCCTGCTAACTACATTCTTATGGCTACAAGTGTCATAGATTCGGTGATCTGTGTTAGATAGAATCAACAGGTGTTGCTGATGGATTGGATGTGGGAGATGAGGGAATGAGAAATCAAGGGTGACTGTTAATATTATTTTTTACAAATTTTATTGGAACATAATCTGCATACACAATTCAGTAGTTCACTCAATCAACTATCCTGACCACAATCACCTTTACAACATTTTCTTCTTCTTTTTAAATGGTTTTATTAGGGGCTCATACGACTCTTATCACAATCCATACATAGATCAATTATGTAAAGCACATTTGTACATTCATTGCCCTCGTCATTCTCAAAACATTTGCTCTCCACTTAAGCCCCCGGCATCAGGTCCTCATTTTATTATCCCTCCCTCCTCGCTCTCCCCTCCGTCATGAGCCCTTGATCATTTAGAAATTGTTTATTTTGTCATATCCTGCCCTGTCCGACGTCTCCCTTCACCCACTTTTCTGTTGTCCGTCCCCCAGGATTTTCTTCTTTCTTAAATGCCTTGTTATTAGTTCCCCATCTTCCCTCAGTCTCCCCCACCACACAACTGCCACCATTTTGGTTTGTGTGCCTGGCTGGTGCCATTCACTGGTCAGCCTGGGAGAGCATCAAGATTGAGGCAACTCAGCTCGTTGTTGCCCATGTCATCCTTGAAACACTTAGTAAATATTTAAGCTTTCAAGTAGCTAGTCAGCGTTTAATGCAAAGTACAAGGCCAGAATTATAAACTTGGTGGACATGGGATCTAGGGATAGTGGAATAAATAAATGATCCAGAGGAGACAGTGGTGCAGCACAAAGTGGAAAACTAGGAATAAACTTTTGGGGGAAGGCCAGAGGGGATGAGATCTAAAGTACAAGGCAGGAGCTGACTAGATTGTAAGTAGAACTCTGTGCCTGCTTTTGAAGATAGAGAAGAGCAGAGAGTTGGATATTGTTGCAAATAGGCTGGTGGATTTGTTGGTGGGAGGATGCGTGACTTGCTGCCTGATTGCTTCTGTTTTCCCAGTGAGGCAAGGGGAGGGCCGGGCACGGAGAAAGGAGCTTATGTTAGTTGGAAGAGTGAAGGATTAAAAAAAAAATCAAACCTACTGGCGTTAAGTTCACCATGATTTCTGATTCATAGTGAACCTGTCGGACAGGGCTTCTAATGATATACATTTTCTTTATCTAGTCAATAGCTTGATAGGCATATAATTCACATATAAAATTCAATGGTTTAGTCACATAAAGAAGACTTGTACAGTCACCACCCCGATCAGTTTTAGAATGCTTTCTTTATTCTTGCATTCATCATTATTAGGATGTAAATCTTTTATTATCTTATTTTATTTTAAAATCATTTTATTGGGGGTTCATCCATATATACATTAGGATGTAAATCTTTATGGAGGCAAATTGTCACATCTTTGTCCTGTATAGTGGCAGGTGGGTTCAAACCACCGCCCTTTGAGTTAGAAGCGCAGTGAAGGTGTTTAACCACTGTACCACCAGGGCTCTTAGAGCAGTCCTACAGAAATAGGTGCAACTTACATGTAAGGGGTGAGGGACTAGTTTTCATTGATCCCCAAAACCTAAATTAGTACTCTGATGCCCACTTACTATCTTTTCTAGCCTAAGAGTCTTCATTTTATTTAATTCTATGCTGGCCCAGGGTTATGAGTTCAGCTGCTAACTGCAAGATGAGCAGTTTGAGCCTACCACCTGCTCTGAGGGAAAAAGATGAGGCTTTCTGCTCCAGAAAGATGTACAGCCTCAGCAACCCACAGGATTAGTTCTATTTTGTCCTACTGGATTGCTTTGAGCCACAATTGACTTGCTGGCAGCTAGTTCTGTGTACCCCAGAGATAGCCTTGGTTGTATGCAAAATATTGTCAGCTCTCCTATTGCGTACTAAGTGAAGTAACCTCACTGACAGGGTATTCTTTCAGTTTCCGTGATTGTGCCACACTTGCTTGATTAGGATTCTGTTGTGAAGTCATTCGTCATCACAATCACTTTTAGAACATTCTCATAGCTTCCAAAAGAAACTCTGTTACTATTTGACTGTTACTATCCACAACCAACCTTCTACTCCTCCCCAACCAGCATCAAGGTTGTAGCTTTGAAATGACCCTTTCTGTGCTCCCCACTGAAATATCAATATATGACAACTAATTTAGCAATCCTAACAGATTAGGCCTTCTTCAAGTAGCCCTAAGAGCTGATCTTGCCTTTATATACCCTTTGGATTTTAACAGCAATCTCTTTAAAGTTCTTTCTTCTATTGGACTCTCTCACTGTTTACTTTTATATTGTTAAATAGAAAAGAATCACAATACCTGACTAATTTGCAGTGAAAAGTTGTTATACAAAAAAATTAAGCACTTGACAAAAAACAGACTTCTCACTGAAAATACTCCTGTAACATTCTTCTATCTGTGATTCAGCAAAAAGGACTGAGTGGTATGTTGCTTCTAATATTTCTGCACCTTCTTTATTGTGTTTTAATTTTTTTTTATTGTGTTTTAATTTCATTAAACATTTTTCCATTTCAAAAATGAGATGTTCTTTTAATTTATTTGAGATTTTTGACATTTAGTTGCTTATGATGTTGAGTCTACCTTTTTAAAAAATATTTTTACAGTTGCAGTCTTAGTCCTGGCTCAAGCAAGAGTGACGAATTTGAGGCTTGTAAGTAGAATCTACTTAAAAGCAGTACTTTATATTTTAAAATGTAATTTAACCATGTCTTTGTAGAGCTAATTGGACTGTGATTCAGAACATTTAACATAAAGTGGTTCTAAGTTTGTCTCCTCTAAGGGAGCTCTCTAGGCTGGTGAAAAGAAGTTTATTTCCTTACTGATAGGAGTAGAAGTTCTCTGTGCTTCTTTTCCAGTTTATTCTTTTATCTTCTTGATTTGGTTGTCTTAACTTTTATTTATTTTCTATCTTCTGTGGTGGGAGGGGGAGCATATAAGATTTCAAGTTAAATTTTAATAAGCTCCTTTTTAGGGAGTTAAAAATATAAAAAACCAGATTTTACCATATGTCTAATCCCTTATTTCTGTAATTTAGTTGTGGCCAGAAGGAGAATGAAAAAGAAGAGACTTCGCAGGTGAGTAGGAAGATTATTTAAATGACTTTTTTTGCTGGTGGGAAAATTCCATTTCTCCATGAAAAATTTTTTAAACAATTAAGGTGGGGATTTACATTTCAGGTCATCAACTTTTTATTTAAAATTTTAAGATACTTATCAAGCACCCCAATAACATCCCCTGTACTCCCCTACCACCTTTGATTTCTCTTTTCCCTCCTGAGGGTTACTATCGTCACCTTCACTCGTTATTAACACTTGTCAACCCTCTCTCCTATTGCAGCCTCTTCCTTCTTTTGTCCTCCCCTTTGGTAACCATCAGTTTGTTTCTTTTTGTTTGAAAACCTTTTTTTAAAAAAAAATTTTTTTTCAACGATTTATTGAATGGGCATATTTCAACTTTTAATCCATTCACTTTTATGTGTGTAATCTTGTCCTTTTTTTTTAGTTGCTATCCTATTATTTAATTTTTTTAAAACATTTTATTAGGGGCTCATACAACTGTTATCGTAATCCATACACACATCAATCGTGTAAAGCGCATTTGTACATCATTCTCAAAATGTTTGAAAACCTTTGTCTTGATTTTGTTTTAGTTTAACAGTTTTATTGGCACTTTTCCCACATACTATACAATTCACGAGTTCAATCATATCAAGAAAAGTTGTGCAATCTTAGCCACAATCAATTTTAGAACATTTTCTTCTTCCTTGTACTCATTGGCATTCGTGTAATTACTTTTTTAAATTGTGGCAAAAATATACACAACACACATTCTCCAATTCAATAACTTCCACATGTATAATTCAGTGCCATTGATTACACTCTTCGTGTTGTACAACCATTATTGATATCCTTTTCCACCACCATTAACATAAACTCAATGCCCCCTAAGCAAAAACTTCTTTTACCCATGGGAACCGTAGGTCAACCAAATGTTCTTCTCCTTTAAAAAAAAAGCAATTATCTTTATATACTATTCATATATCATATACATATCAATCATCACTTTTTAAAAGAGTTGTATTATTAAAAAGAGTTGTATGTAGTTTTCTATAGATTTTAGAGATTAGTCCCTTGTTCAATGTGTCGTAGCCAAATATATTTCCCCAGTCTGTAGGTTCTCTTACTACTCTTTTCTAATAGTTGAAGATGTTAGTTTGAGGTTTTGAAATTAATTTTTCTTTTTTGATGTGTGTGTTTTGGTATAAATTCTGTGGACACTCTTCTTGTTGTGTTTGCATTGTCATTTGACTCAAGGAAATATTTTTCTTCTATTACCTAGTAGTTTTTAAGCAGATGCTATTCAGTTTTCATTTATTTCCTTGACCTTCTTGTTGATTTCTGATTTTATAGCATTGTGATCTAAAAAGATGCTATGTAGTATTTTGATGTTTTAAAATATATTGAGTTTTGCCCCAAATTTCATAGCCGCATACTGTACTCTTAAATCGGCCATCACAAAAAACAAGGTTTGAGCGAAACTGCTTTTATGAAAAAATTCATTGTGACCAGAGAGGACCTTCTTAGGTGATTCCACTGGGTGCACTAACACAGAGCAAGTTGCTCAATCCTTGCTTAGCAAGAAAATTGCATATTATGAAAGCTCTGCCCAGCGGAGCTTTTTCCCATTTTTTATTGGGTACCCCCTCATATAAAAATATGTGTATTTGTTTATGTATGTATGTATATCTGAATGCAACAAGGAAGCAGATGGACTTTGGGCTTCTACTTAAATATCACCTCAGTACAACAATGGTTTGTTCTAATAGTGTGGCATTGTATGACACTCACATTCCTGCCACGGTCGCTGAAGACAAATGGGTGCATAAGCGAATGTGGTGAAGAAAGCTGATGGTGCCCAGCTACTAAAAGATATAGTATCTGGAGTCTTCAAGGCTTGTAGAAACAAATGACCATCTAGCAGGGAAGCAACAAAGCCCACATGGAAGAAGCACACCAGCCTGTGTGATCATTAGGTGTCTACAGAAAGAGGTATCAGAAGTTCAAAAACAAGCAATCAAATCAATGTGAAGGGGTGTGGATATAGTGGAGAACCAACATCCACCTGTGAGATAATTGGACAGTCCCTTTCAGAAGGGCCACACAGAAGGGATAATAAATCCAGGGTGTGGTATGACCCTGATGAACCACATAATTATCTTCTAGTTCTTTAATATTTCCTCCCCTTGCTATTATGGTTTTTATTTGTTTTACCTCATGAATCATGTTAGATTTGCGTATGTTCATTTGTATATTTAAGATCATTCAATACATGAAAGCCAAGATAACCCTTCAGAAACAGTAACAAGAGTAATGGTTCCCTGAGAGTATGCAAAGAGAGGGGTAAAGGGAGTGGAGGTGGGAAGCTGATAGGATTGTATGAAGCCCACTCAATGGGATCAAACAACAGAATTGTATGTGAATGGATATGCTGGATTGTGTAAGATATGGCACACACACAAAAACCTATTATACAGGGGGAAAAAAAGAAGGGTTCCTGGGGGTTATGTATGGTGGGGGAGGGAGGGGTAAAGGGGAATTGATATCCAGGAGGAAAAAAAATGTTTTGAAAATGATTGTGGTAACAATTGTACAATACCTCTTGATGTGATTGAATTATGGAATGTAAGACTAAAGTCTTACAGACAGTAATCTATTAGAGTTCCGAGACTATTGACATCCCTGGTCTGTGGTCACAGGGAATTCACTGGAGGCTTAATCCATGTGCATTTCCACTTCACTTTTTTTTTAACTGAAACAACTTTAAAATGGGTCAAAGGGGAGATCAAATGATAAAATATTACCTTTTAACTACATTTGCCATAATTGACTTTGTAGTATTTTCTGATAGGAAGGCTATTCACATCCCTCAACTATGATCAGAAGGGATTCTCTGGAGGCTTAATCCACGTGGGCACTCTGCAAATGGGTTTTGGGATTCCACTGTCCTCCATAGGCCTTATCCAGATGGCATCATTCAGGCATCATTCCCTCCTTGGAATTTAGATTTTATTATTTACAATCCTTGCATCACCCAGGCTGTGTGCTTCTATGTGGATTTAGCTGACACCTTACTTCGATGGCTGCTTGTTTGAAGACAAAGATTTAAGGCCCCAGATACTATTCTTACTGGTACCATCTAGTCTTAGCCACACTTAGCTATCGCACCCATATCTTCAGTGATCTCATCATGAGAGTGAGCATCAAGCAGGGGCGTATCATAATAACGAATTGTTCTTAGATTGAGGATAGGATTAAGTGTGAGGCCCAAATCCACTCTATGGTTTATTTATGTCCTAGTTCACCCTAAGGAGATCATTGTCGTTTTATGTTATAGAGCATTATCAATCATCTCCCTGGGGCATAAGGTAATTATATTAATAATTTAGCCAATTGTATAGAATTTAAAATACTGTTTTGGCTTGAGGTGGTATTATTAATATTCAAAATATTGCCACCATTAGATTTGATATTAGTGAGAAGCAAAGCTTTGGGGTGATCTTTGGTTGATACTTAAAAAAAATACTTTTATTGGGGGCTCTTACATCTCTTATCATAATCCATACATTCATCCAGTGTGTCAAGCACCTTTGCACATGTGCCGCCATTATCATTTCAAAGCATTCTCTTCTCACTTGAGCCCCTGATATCAGCTTCCC